TACGTCAACATCAGTTGTTCTATGAATCCATCCTTTGTGAAAGATAACAGTAAGAACTACAGAATTACAAATAGGAATGTACGTCACCACCAGTTGTTCTGTGAATCCATCCTTTGTGAAAGATAACAGTGAGAACTGCAGAATAACAAATAGTACTGTACATGTACGTCACCACCAGTTGTTCTATGAATCCATCCTTTGTGAAAGAAAACAGTGAGAACTGCAGAATTACAAATAGTGCTGTACGTCACCATCAGTTGTTCTATGAATCCATCCTTTGTGAAAGGTAACAGTGAGAACTACAGAATTATAAATAGTACTGTACGTCACCATCAGTTGTTCTGTGAATCCATCCTTTGTGAAAGATAACAGTGAGAACTACAGAATTACTAATAGTACTGTACGTCACCATCAGTTGTTCTTTAAATCCATCCTTTGTGAAAGAAGACAGTGAGAACTACAGAATGACATCCAACATGGAGAGATATTCGATATGATGCTCAATCACAAGACAGATTTGTTCAGGTGCACCCTTGGGAGACATCCATGCTTGTGGTCGTGTAAACATTTCCTCATTGGGATGTTTCATGCTGACTTGCCTTACTTCTTCAAACGTCAGTTTGGCCGCATCTGATCCATGCTGACACTAGGTCATGGACACCAGGAACATCTCTCCGCATTGATTGTTTATATCAAATGTGATCATGTTTGTGGTGAGATATTCCAAAATAATTGGACAAGAAGTCATTGCCACCCATACAGAGGCCATCTGCTATATTCAAAGTGGAATATTCACTATTCTTTGCATCCAACGTTTAGATGGTGGATGTAACATTGTAGGCATCCACAGCATCAGGCTTCTGAAGCTGCACACAGACAGGGTGTTTGAATGATCTTAATTGATTCTACATGTTCTCGTTTCCATGTCAAGAGGAGCAAAATACATTATTTTATTTCATTTCAGTTTCAGCTGATTTCTGAAATGATTCCAAATTGTTTTTTATTTTTTAAATCTTATTAAACACCCACCACCACCATGTAAAGCGGCTGTCTGCAGAGACGAAAACGATTAAGAGTGAGTGATCACCTATCAGCGCCAATCATCTGTTGGCTTCCCTTGTTGGTTTTTACCCTTTGTTATTTTCCGCCTATTGTTGTCCTTACATGTACATATATATGCAAGGGGCGGTCGGGTAGCCTAGTGGTTAAAGCGTTCGCTCGTCACGCCGAAGACCCGGGTTCGATTCCCGACATGGGTACAATGTGTGAAGCCCATTTCTGGTGTCCCCCGCCGTGATATTGCTGGAATATTGCTAAAAGCGGCGTAAAACCATACTCACTCACTCACTCACATATATATGCCCTCTGCCTCATGGCATTCCTCGTTGTGTTCCTCTTAACAAAAAAGTTGACATCCATATGTTCTCTTCCTCAAGTTGAAATAAATTTTAATAAACGAATATTGTACTTGCCTGTGCACAAGCGGTTCCAACGGATAGGATATTGCACAGACAACACAAACTTGTTTGACTATTTTGAGTTGTTGTAGACTGGTGAATAGGAAGTGTTTTTCATGCTATGCGTATGCTTACATATACACATGACAAATTCAGATACACCATGGCCACCTGTGTGAGGCATTATGGAGCTGAGAACTGAGATGCCAAGTATTACCTGCCTTCACACACGGAAACAATATAATTCTTGTGTGTGTGCCCTTACCTCTGGAAAATGTAACACTAAAGTATTTTGAATTGTAGGAAATATATCTCAGAATGCAGAACTAATAACATTCAAAAATATAATAAGTACACAGAGAATGGTAAAATATCATTTCCTGTACATTCCTGCTTGAACAAAGAGCCTATATGTACTCTGTATTTGGTGCAACTGAGTGTTGGCTAACGGCACATCTCCCATCAAGTCAGCTCTATTTTTCAAGCATGTTTTAAGTTCCGAAGAAAATCGTAATATAATTATATACTAGCCACATAAAGAAACTGTGCACGGAGCAAATATATTCTGGATTGAAATACAACACAGCAAGAACAAAATGATGCAGACGGTGTAGCAGCTGAATGATCGGACCATAAGAAAATGTCAACGGGACCTGAACAACATCTGTTACGATGACGTCAGAAGATCAAAATGGAGTAGGGGGTCAAACGACAAAGTCACAAAGTCAGTAACGGGTATGACCACCCTGTGCCTGAATCACAGCAGTGCATCGGCGACGCATGGAGTCCACCAAATGGGCATGGAAGGCCTGGGGAATGGCCTGCCATATCCTCCTCAAATCCTGTGCCAAGTCACGGAGGTTATCTGGAGGATGTTGAAGACTACGCAGACGGCGCTCCATTTCATCCCACACATGCTCTATTGGGGAGAGATCTGGAGAAATTGCAGGCCATGGCAGTAACATGACATTGTTATGGGGAAGGAAATCCATTGCGACCCTAGCCGTGTGAGGACGAGCGTTGTCCTGTTGAAATGTCAATCCCGGGCCATGACGTTGCAGGAAAGGAATGACCACAGGCCTCAGAATATGATCTCTGTAGCCAACACCGGTGATATTGCCCTGAACAACCACCAAAGGGGTTGGGTGCCGTGCTGTTATCCCACCCCAACTCATCACAGAACCACCTCCAAAACGATTCCTCTCCACAATACAGTTGCGTGCATAACGTTCTCCCCAACGCCGGTAGACACGTTGGCGCCCGTCACTGTGGGAAATGTTGAACCTCGATTCATCTGTAAAGACAACATTTCTCCACCATTTTCGAGGTTGGCGACCATGATTTCGACACAACCTTAGACGGTTGACTCGATGACGGTGTGTCAGGATGGGACGTATGGCAGGGCGTCGTGGTCGAATTCCGTACTGACGTAAACGATTCCTGACAGTGTTGGGATGGATACGGCGCAGTCCAGGAATTGTCTGGGACGTCGTTACTGCCGTTTGGAACCTGTGTCGGAGATGTGTAACTCGAATCCATCTGTCCTGTCTTGGCGTCGTTACTCGGGGACGTCCTGAACGTGGGTGGTCGGCAACGTCATTTGTGTTCTGAAAACGCCTCACCAATGCCGATATCGTGTTACGATGGCATTTGAAATGTGTTGCCACCTGTTGTTGCCTCATTCCCGCTCGGATCATTTCAATGGCTTCATGACGCTGTGCAGCTGTCAATCTTGGCATGATTTGCTTGTGATATGCGTGTGTCTGCGCCTGAGAATTTTTGAATTTTTGAATGACCACAGATCATGCTTTCCAAAGTGACAGCGAATGTTGAGTTGCACATGCTGTGTACAGCTGCACAGGATGCACGTGCAGTAACACATTGCACGTCCAAAGGCCCCCATCAATGACGTCATATCGCATGGCACGTGCATGAGCGTTTGAATGTCTCCAATAATTGCTGTGTTCAAACCTATCTTTCATGTATGGACGGTGTGCCCTTATATCTATATTTTCTCAGTGCACAGTTTCTTTATGTGGCTAGTATATTTAACAAATCTAAGTGTAATTTGCCAAATTCAAAAACTTATACACCCGTTCTACATCTCGATCCAATGGGCGTGGACCATTCAACTCGCCTGCGAAAGTCGAAGGTCGTATACGTTAAAGTGTATTTATATAAACAAGTGATTTCATCAAGTGTATTAGTATTAAATATACAAAAAAAACAGAGTCCAGATATTCGTGCTTGTCAACACTCCTTTATCCACATAAGATCTTTCACCGTTCAACGGCTCTTCAGGTATAAAGAAAACTCTAACTTACATTGTAGTCCTAGGCGACGAACAACAGTAGTATTTGTGGCGTCGTAATGCCTATGCTGTAACAGTGACAATTAGGTTTTTGGAACCTAAACTTCATTCAAAAGTATAATTTTCAAAATTTCTCCATGTGTATTTGTGCACTAACACCACTATTGTCACTAGCTATGACGTCAATGAGTGAGTGAGTGAGTTGGATTTTACGCCGCTTTTAGCAATATTCCAGCAATATCACGGCGGGGGACACCAGAAATGGGCTTCACACATTGTACCCATGTCGGGAATCGAACGCTTTAATCACTAGGCTACCCTACCGCCCTATGACGTCAACTCTTAGCTGCATAATACATACATTAATGATAATCAATTAGTCTAAATCTGCAAGATGACAGACACAATCCTTCTTTGTACAATGCATTATCATTTTTTCTCATTCAATCTACTGTACTTAACATTTGAAGGTATTGTGAAGTCTCAAGGAGTACTGTAATGATGTGGTATTATGAGTGAGTGAGTGAATAAGGTTTTACGCCGCTTTTAGCAATATTCCAGCAATATCACGGCGGGGGACACCAGAAATGGGCTTCACACATTGTACCCATGTCGGGAATCGAACCCGGGTCTTCGGCGTGACGAGCGAACGTTTTAACCACTAGGCTACCCGACCGCCCCTGATGTGGTATTATGAATGAAATTAGAATATGAATAGTGTTTTGTTTTGTTTGTTTGTTTGTTGTTTAACGCCACACCCAGCAATATTCCAGCTGTATGACGGCGGTCTGTAAATAATCGTGTCTGGACCAGACAATCCAGTGATTGACATCATGAGCATCGATCCACGCAATTTGGATACTATGAATGTAGATGTATAACTTGTCATCTAACATCACGCTTGTGCCGAAGCCCGGGGGTCATAAAACGAAATGGTCCCATAAAAGGGTCAATTAGTTTCGCCGATACTCCGCAGTCGTTCCGCGGGGTGCATGCGTGGCTACGCAGAAATTTTACAAACATTCTGCGCAGTCCCCGCGTAGCTACACAAAAGTTTTACAAAAGTCCTGCGGATATTTTGCAAAAAAGGTGAAATACTTTTGCGTTGTAGTGTATGTAGGTCTGAATCTAGAAAGTTAAGATAAACAGGCAAAGCTTTAATCCCAACTCACTATCATTTGTGAACATGTGAAGTGCACAAAGTGTCTGGCACATTCTGCAGCGCAGGTAAGGTAGAGGCTAAAGGGTATCTTGTACAACAGCTATTTATACCAACACAGCGATTGCGTAACCCATGTGACTGACACATAAGGTAACCCGAACTTCCAGAACGTGGTCGTCCTTTGAAGCAAGACCATGGCAGTCACCGTGGTGTTCGGCTTACTGTTCACCTTACAACTCCTCAACGCCGAACCAATCGTCGACGCCCCGTGGGGCGTAATTGAGGGGACCACGAACGTCACAGAAGACTGGACACCTTACCATGCATTCCTAGGAATCCCCTACGCAGTCCCACCGATAGGGGCCAAGAGGTTCAAACGACCACTGCCACATCCAGGATTTAAACACATCTTTAAAGCCTACTCATATGGTCCATCGTGCCTTCAGACTCTCAAGCTGACTGGCGTTGGTGGTGTTACTGGAGACGAAGATTGCTTAACGTTAAATGTTTTCACTCCAGCGGCGTCACTTACGGAAATCAAGAACAATCCTGTAATAGTTTGGATACATGGAGGGGGGTTCGTTGCTGGGGATGCTTTCACCTATGACCCTTCATCGATCGTTGGCACTGGACAGGTAATAGTGGTGACCATCCAATATCGTCTGGGACCGCTCGGGTTCCTCAGTACAAACGACGACGTGTCAAGGGGAAACTATGGCCTCTGGGACCAACATCTTGCACTGGAATGGGTCAAGAAAAACATTGCATCTTTTGGCGGGGATATCAACAATATTACCCTGATGGGAGAATCAGCAGGGTCCGCTAGCGTGGCATTCCAGGCGTTGTACTCAGGGTCCAAGGGTTTGTTCCACAGGACAATCATGCAGAGTGGGTCTGCCTCGTCCGCATGGGCTTATACACGTAACTCTCTGAAATATGCAAGAGGGCTGGCCCATAAGGTAAAATGTTCCTCCCAGAACGGTACCGCATCAATGATCACCTGTCTGAGGACTATCCCTGCCAGGAAGTTGACTGCAGCATCGTGGCCAATGGGAAATGAACCTGTTACAGCTTCAGCCGAATTTTATTTTGTACCTACTATTGACGGGACATTTGTCAAAAACGATCCACGGGTTCTAATAGATTCTCCAAGTTACCTGAAACAGGTAGGACTTCAAAATCTTGACTGCATGGTGTCGGTTGTAACCAATGAAGGGGGAATCTTTAATGGCCTTGCAAGTGCAGCTGATAAACAGTTCCACTCGTCATTATCCTCGTCGGTTCAGAACAGGGGATTCTACATCAACACCTTCATCCCAGAGATTCTGGAGCTTTATTTCGGTGCATCCTCTCCTGACATGACACAGGCCGTATCTAAGGTGTATCTCCCGTCACACAGTCCTACCGTTGATCTCCAGGCAGTAATGAACACTCTTGGTGATGCTGGGATGGTCGTCCCCATGACGCTTTTTGCTAGGGCTCACGCAAAGCTGACCAACAACTTGAAGACGGGGAAGAAGACATACATGTATGTGTTTGACCACATCCCATCTTTTATTCCTGGTCATGGGAAGGAGGTGGACCATGGCGATGACATCTTTTACACATTCGGTCTCAGCAAAACCATGTTGGATGCCAATGCAAAAGCGTACGCAATCAGTATATCTGTGCCAGACCAATCAGAAAAGGAGCTCTCACATACAATGATGGGACTGCTAACAGATTTCGCAAGATATGGGTAGGTTTGTCCAATATTCTTTATAAGAATGGTTGTGGGAATGCGTTGAGGGAATTGAGTTCGAATGTGTCACTGGGGTGGGAAGTGAGTGAGAAATATCTTGTTGTTTAACACCACACTCAGCAACATTCCAACCTGTTCATACACTAGTCTGGACCAGAACTGACTAATTACCAGTGGTCCTCTATAAAGGAAGTCTTTGCTCGGGTTAATTGGTAATCACAGCGACTTAGACTGAAATCATGTGAGCCCAATTTTGCATTTTCTGCTGTCGTAAAACTTCTGCTGACCAATTTCGAAGTTAAATGTCAGCCTTACTCCACAAGAAACTCCATCCCCCTCGTGGTAGTACTTACAACGTCTAAACTTTAAACCGAAAGGGGCACCAGGGCCCTTATTTCACAAGGCGATCTTAGTGCTGAGATGATCATAACGCCCGCACTTTAACACAGGCCTGTGACAGTCGTGATGCTTTGTGGAGCGTGAGACATTTTGTGTGGTTATTGTCAGCAACCAGTATCTCTTATTGTGCTAGTCCTGGATGTCATCAACGGAAGGGCATCAACAATTTGATCCTTAGAATGGTTAAGATATTGGAACGTGGTCCGTTCGTTTGTAGCATTCCCTTATTTATCAATGTACATAATTTCTCATTTCACCCAATCAATAAAGTGTCACATGTAACGTGATTAAATATTTGTACATCTTTATCTATTTTTCCCACGGTAATAAATACAATCAACCATGTCACTGAGCCTCACCACCCGATCCAATAAGTCGCACGTTTGTTGGCAGTGAATCGTCCTGGACTACCTGACTAAATAAGTCTGCCTGCTTTGCAATAAATGGGTGAATTGTAAAGATGGTTGGTTTGTTGGTTTGTTGTTTAACGCCGCACTCAGCAATATTCCAGTTATATTACGGTGGTCTGTAAATAATCGAGTCTGAACCAGACAATCCAGGGATTGACATCATAAGCATCGATCCACGCAATTGGGATATGATGACATGAGACAACCAAGTCAGCGAGCCTGACCACCCGGTCCCGTTATTTGCCTCTTACGACAAACAGAGTCGCCTTTTACGGCAAGCATGGGTTGCTGAAGACCTATTCTGTAAAGATAGTAAACATCCTACATTTAAAGAATAGGCTAAACCATCCGGAACACGCAATGTATTATTATTGCTTTGTTTTTATTTCAAGCATATTTGGTCCATAGTCAAGTTATCACAAACAATAACATTAATAAGAAATATTCACATGTTCCACATCCAGGCTTTTTTATTTTTATTTCACTTTTGAATAATGCGCATCAAGGTCTTCTGCAAAACAATTAACAGAAGTGGCATTATACGAGGTTATGTAGCTCACCTACATGTTGTGAAATATTTACATAAACTCAGATCAGATCATCCACGAATCTCATTGCTTTAGGTGACCCGAGACTTGTTGAGGTCTTAAATTGTATCTGCATTTCAGTGACCCAAACAACGCCGTCCGGTTTGGCCTGAAGCAGACGTGGCCCGCGTTCACAGAGCCAGGGGAACAGTATCTACTGGTGAACACCACCATGTCCGTGAAGTCCCACCCCTTCAAGGACAGGGTCAGCTTATGGGCACTACAGCTGCCGCGTCTTCTACATGCCTTGCAGAACCAGCATCACACCACGAAGAACCCCAAACTTACCATTATCGGGTAGCTATGCAACGACTGCAAGAATCTGAGTTTTGGAATAAAAAATAATTGAGATTTGTTTTGTGTTGAAATGTGTAAGTGAGTGAGTGAGAAAGTGGATGGGAGATAGTCAGCAATATTCCAGCGGCCAGTAAAATGGGTGACACGGCTGAAAGATTTAGTCTGGTGGTGAAAGTGTTTGCTCGTCACACAGAACTCCATCATTGGGTCCCCCGCTGTGATAATGCTGGAATATTGCTTAAATCCCAACTCACTCAATCATCGTCAGCTGCAAAAGAATACATTGATGCGGTAAGCGTTGAACACAACTCCACACAGGGTCATGCATGCCTCGTTGAAAGCGTGAGTGCGGGAACAAATCTTTGTTCAGCCAACATTTAGAAACATAATGAAAAAACGCATCCTTTATTTTGAATGGGCGGTCAAAGTTCTCTCAGGGTTGACCCTCTTTGGAGATGAACTAAAACCTTGAAGCAGACAGGTATCATATCCGAGTAACAGATTTGATTTTAATGCTCTCAAAATGGCCACCTCCTACACCAAGCGACCCACCTGGTCTTCGTGAGAGTTTCCCATCCCGTTGTCTGGTTTGTCGGAAGAGCAATCGGAGGTCCAATTTGAGAGTTTTTCCGCGTCCAGGGCAGACACACATGCCCTTGTGTCGTTGCTCAGTTATTTCTAGATAAATTAACATCACGAAATGCACTATTCTATTGTATCTTTACACAAGGCCAGACACTCCTACATCACGGCTCGCCTTGTATCGCTGTTTCTAAAATGAAATAGCAAATGAGGCACAAACACGTCATATCCGCCTTGTCTTGGGTGATTATTCTATCGATTCTAACACATGACACCACCCAATTCTTTATTGCTATGAAATAATATTGTCTGAAACCGTCGATTCGCCACTTTGAAGCAAATTGTGCAAATGGCCGACAACAGAGACCCGCACAGAATGGGTGTGATAGGAAAGCAGCTCTCTGATTGGTCGATATTTCTAATCGGGGTGGGATGGGGGGTATATATATTTGATTTCCTTGGCCTAAGAATACACTCAATCAGCTTTATTCATTCAGTATTGTAGGCCACGATATAATGTCAATACAGGGAGTCGGAGACTCAGGGTGCCAGTTTGTTTTTTGGACACATTGCTTTTTATATGTACATCGATGGGTCGTAAGTGGACGACATTAATACATTAAACTTGTGTCTAGTAGCATAGGTATAACATGTTGGCGCTCTAATGCTGTAAGATCATCATATGTTTTACACACACAAACATAATGATATTCGTCTTCTATGTAGTTCTCGTAACAAATAATAAAAATTCCATTTTCTCTCTTTTCTCTGGTAAACCGTCCTGATTCAATTCTTAGGCGATGGGAACAGTATCTACAGTGTGTCATTGCGTTTCTAAGTTTTTAACATGTTAGGGCCAAGATATAGAATTCGATATTGAAGCTAAATTTAAACAGTGTGTAATCTTATGGTTTTGTGCTATCCTGATTGTGTGATAGTTACAATCTTTGAAAGAATTCTGATAAAAAACGTGACAGTTGACTGTTGAGCCCATAGATAGCCAAAACCTGAACAAGTATCAAGCATATGGTTCGCCAAGCAATCATTTGGGAAAATAACAATTTCGAAATTCACAAAAACAGCCTCCCTCCACAGAAGTCAATATTACAGGAAGGAAGACCAATCAAAAGTGTATGGAAAACGCAAATAACAACGCTGGCCCACAACCTAGTTCCCCCAAAACAGATAAGGCGGTTGAGCGATGCAGTTTAGACACATATGTCTTAAATGTTAGTGTCTGCTCCAACCATCCCCTGAACCACAGTTCTAAGCTCTTCGAATCCACATTGTCGCACAGCAGCTGTGCGAGGGACATTCATCACTGACCAAAATGATGTCCGGTACAGTTCCCTATTTTGACTTGTAACCATATGTTTCCGCACTTCTCTACATGAACAAGTCACTGATATGATGTTGATGTCGAAGTAGGGGATAGTGTTGATGTCGAAGTAGGGGATGATGTTGATGTCGAAGTAGGGGATGATGTTGATGTCGAAGTAGGGTATGATGTTGATGTCGAAGTAGGGGATGATGTTGATGTCGAAGTAGGGTATGATGTTGATGTCGAAGAAGGGTATGATGCTATTTTCCTTACGTCCATTTCAAAGTTAAACATTCTCTTTATTATTGATGTCAATTTTTTTCTCCCCTAGTTTTATTTTTGGGGGACTGATGTTTTCTTACTACTATATAGATCTATATGTTTATTCATAATTCTTCATTAACCACCTTGTCCCCGACTGCGAAATTACCAATGGCAGAAGCAGTCGGTCGTTAAACTCCTCAAATCGTCGTTGTCGTGCTGTATTTTGGATTTAATAACAATAATCCACATACCAGCCTACCAAAGAATTAGCATTCAATATAAAAATGTGTCTTCGAATTTACTCCAGGTTTTTCTACGAATTCGCCGTTAATAAACATCATTGTGTCCACGAGAAGGGTGTGGCTACGATTTGTTACGTAACAAACAGTCGTGGCTTTCATCTGACATTGATTTGGTATGAACTTATGTTGACAAGGATAAGTAAGGCACCGAATGGGAAAAAGAAAAATGTAATTAGAGTTATCTCCCTTTGGTTCGCCAAGCTCCTTCCCAGCGCGTGACACCTTCGTTACACTCTCACAGAGCTCCGCGAACTGGATATCGCTGCGGGGAGCTTGCGCTTCCGCATGGTTTCCAGTGTAAACAATAATAAACAGTGTTGATATTCACGGAGTTTCGGAGTTACAGATTCGTTTACATTAAATAAAGAAAAACACACATCCAAGTTTAAACTGGGTATGCAACAGACTGAGATGATATTTGCCTACAAGAATAATTCATGTCGAGGTCACGTATCTGGTTTCACGTTTGACTAGGTGAGCTGTCCTTCACTATCTAAATGTACTCGTGTTTAAATATCAGCAACATATATTTAGTTCCTATCGGATTGTCTAGTTAAAACTCCTATGTGAAGTTTCCGTTATTCGCGTAATATTAATCACGGTGCAGTTACAATGAGGTGTATGTGTATAGGTGAGGTGAGGTGAGGTGAAATTGGTTTAACGTCGCGTCCAAGATTATTGCACTTATATAAGAGTCTAGCGACGTGTGTGTGTGTGTGTGTGTGTGTGTGTTTGCCTCTTTGTACTAGTCCGGACTGATCCCGATTTATAGTGCTAGCCCACTGATCGAGATACCATGCCACAGTTTAACTTGAATACCCCACTCAGACACAGTACGTAGGGACTATAGGCCTACTGACTCCGAGCCGAACAGTCCTTGTTTAAGCCCCTTAATGCCGTGCGCCAGAAAGGGTAACAAGAAGTACTATCGTTTAACATCTTTTTGTATGACGTGGCTGGTGATCGAACACCAGACCTTCCCTTCTCCAGGCGGATGCTCTACCACTGGACCACAGAGGCCACTCAGAGTGCTTCAGAAACATTAGATCTGATTGTTTGCCACAAAAAAGTACATTGTTGCAAGATGTTTATAAAAGGAAAATATATTTAGGCTTATATATACCGTATTCGACGTAATAAGCGCCCCGCTCTAATAAGCGCCCACGGCGATATTTGCTAATATATTGGCTAGTGAACAATCCCAGTTAGCACCCCTTCCGATTGATCAATATACACAAGACTTATTTATTCGTGTATAATACGTGTGTTATATGCATCCTTAATTGTGAATTAGATTCTGGAAAAATACATCTGTCGTATATAAACATTTCAGGCTGTCAGCATAAACCACGATCTTTTAACACTGTTGTTTTCCACCAAAATAATATTCTATTAAGAGCCCCCTATTTCTAATTTTGAGAGCGCCCTGGGCGCTTAATATGTTGAATACGGTAGTTATATTTTGAAAAAGGCCTGGTTTCGCATCTTGGTTAAGAAATATCAAGTCTCCAGACAAAACCCCATGCAGTAGGATACCGGTAAGCTAAACTAACATTATTGTAATTGAAAAGTTTTGTAACCAAAAATGCTTGCTGACTTCAGACAATGTTTTTTAAACTGTTATAGACTTCATATAGATCTACTTATTTCTATAATGTTTCAAATTGCCCTGTGCAATCAAATGACATCAATGATTAAGACCTTGAAATGCTATATGTAACACCAATTGTATTTTCGTCATACTTTTAATTCTTACTTATTTGCCCTTTGCACGTTCACTTCTCTCATAAGAATATCAAGCATGCACATTATTTTGTCTACTTAAACAATAACTGCCTCTGTGGCCTAGTGGGTAGAGCGTCTGCCCGGAGGACAGGATGGTGGTTCACTCCCCAGCTGCATCATACCAAGAGATTTTTAAAAGATGCTACTTGTTGTTATCCTGCCTGATGCATTAAGGGGATAAAACAAGAACTGGTCGACTTGGGGTCAGTATATTGTTTCTGAGTAGGGTATCCAAGTTAGACTGGGGCATAGCTAGCACTACGGAACCAACCTTGAGCAGGGACTATTACAAGCAGCCACACAGACACACTCACACCCACGCATGTGGCGACATAAGTGGAATAATCTTGAATGCAATGTCAACCCCATTTCACCTCATCTCTCACCGTGTTTGAAATACCTGTTTGGGTGTCGCCCTATAATATATATCAGGATGACTAGTGCTCATTTTACTCTCCTGTCCAAACAATCTAGTACCGGTAATAAATGTCAAAGCTTTTCACTTTATCCTTCATGATCATAGTTTGAACCTCTTTAATTAATATTCTTATTACCGATTAAAGGAAATCTAATCTGCCACCAGGATTCTAATCAAGTTAGAATTCCTAGTAGTTGAACAATATATTGGTATTCTCGTTTAGTCATAATTGGTGTCACTGGCAAATGTTTGCATCCCTGAGACCAGTTCAGTTGCCTCTACAAAGTGCTCTCATATATCTGCAGACATGAATAAGTACTGGAAAGTAAATATTTTCACTGCACATTTTGGATGAAACCATTCTATCACTCTTGGTGGGTTAGCATGGTAAACTAATTCCATGGGTTGAAAGAATGACAAAATCTGAAATGTTGAAAACATAATATCACAGACCTTTTGATCATAAATAGTAAATGTTTTTGGTAGATGTTATACCAATTGTGAAGTTTTCTTGTTACCTTTGATTGTTTTAATGCAATTTTAACTTTTTGCCTAAGCAATCTGGCAGTCATACATTTGTAATCCTTGAGAGAAGTCCCTCTTCTTATGGAAATAATATCTTGTATCATTTTAGGATATATATTGCAATGTCCTGACACAAGGCTGCTATTAGGGCTGCGATGATACTCCAACTGTGCGATCCAATATGTTTCACGATACCTTACTCTTCCGATTTATATCATGATACTTGCATGTGCTCTTATCTGTCCGTTAGCCAACGTATTTATAGATAGTATGGGGTGGGGGTGGGTGCACGGGTGGCCCAGTCATCTAAGGTGCCGTGATTCACTGTGCAGAGTTGCGTCCCTTTGGCATGCCAGAAACCTATGATTGTGGGTTCGAATCCCGATTCGCCCCGATTATGTTTCTAGGTTTGTCAGCACCATACCCGTGCTCATGAGTTTCGCCGAAGTGGTAAACGTCTGAGACCTGCATCACTTAGAGCTTTCCTCCCACATTAAGTTGACACGCTGTGATATAACTTGAATACTGTTAAAAAAGCGGAGTTAAACCCAACTAACACACACACATAGATAGGATGGCCAATTACGTGGCACACTGACGAATTACTGCTATTTGGTGTGAAATATTTACGTTTTCACTATTAACTTTCACTACTAACTTTCAATACTAATTAGTGTTTAGTGTAACAGTTATAAAACAAACATTTTAGGTAAGAATCAATATTTTTTACTTAGTGTAATTGTGATTGGTACTTGTATCGATAAGTGAAAAATCATGATCCTCCGATGCATTGGCGTTTCATCCCATCACAAACTGATATGCACTTATTAATTGTATCAGTAAAGTTGACATTTGCAGCATTATATAAAACTACTCTCTTGTTGCACATTTGAGACAACAAAATGTTAGACCACAGTAAATAAGTTAAGCCTTTAATCCAAATAATCCAAAAATGACAGGTGGGATCCATTTAAAAAAAGTCTCATCTTCCCGAGGAAAGAGAGTTAACTGACTATAAAAGTCCAGTTTCCACCCTTGCCGAACTAGGCTGGAATTTCTGGGCGATCGTAGCGCCACCAGTGGCTATTACTAGTTATGTCCCTTCTAAGCCTCTCCTATGGACCAATCAGATTCCACCTCTTGTATCATATGCATTTGCTTCAAACAAAATAGCGGCGCCCAGTCAGGACCATCTGAACGATAATCAAGATCTCTGTTGTGATAAAACGGGTTTTACATCGCGAAATGCATCAAATCCCGTGAGCACCTTGATTAAAAATGCAAAGATTTGAAAAATATCTGTTGACAACGAGTTGGCGGTGCACATGCTTTGCAAATCCTGCAATTGACTGAAATCTGCATTTTAGGAACAGGATTTTGATTTTGTTGCACAAATTTGATTGGACTATGCATAGACTCATTAGTCCAGCCAAAATGTAACTCCATAATACCAGCCTAGTTCGGCAAGGGTGGAAACTGGACTTATATAGTCAGTTAACTCTCTTACCTCGGGAAGATGAAAAAGTAAAAAATCTGTTCAAGGCGCACATCTCTTGATATTGGCTGTGGTTGGATGTGACTCACAAGAAACATGATTGTTAGGTGGGACTATGGTGATGGTGGGCACACACAGTTTTCGCTCATCTGTGAGTACTTGAGGACAACAAAATCATGTGAGGAGGGGTGCTTTGAAATGAGGCGAGCAGTGATGGAAATCTTATGGTTAATTTAAAACCGCCATGTTATAGTAGACTGATAAATGATGCAATGTTACTATAGAAAACCCATTTTTTGTATTTGCAGATGATCAGGAAAAGCTGGCACAAAGTATTTTGGCATGGGATGTGGGACTTCAAAAACATCCATTCATCAATTCTCAAGGCAAATGTCGACCATTTCTGACAAACAAGTCCAGAGCATTAATGGAAATGAGAATTTAACTAAAGACTGTATCAATAAGGAGGTCGAACAACAAGAATCAAGAGAGAACACCAGAGAAAGGGAGACGAATCAAGTTTCAAATCCTCAGGAGAAACCTTCCATCATGGATGCTAAAACTGAGATGTCTGGAAAAGAGTCAGTAGGAGAAACCAAAACTGTAGATCAAGGTCAAAATGGTGAAGGTCAAGGTCAAAATGGTGCAGGTCAAGCTCAAAATGGTGCAGGTCAAGGTCAAAATGGTCAAAATGTTGCAGGTCAAGATGGAAATGATCAAGGTCCAAATGCTGCAGATAATGTGCCTAAGATTCCTCCAAAACTGACACCAGAAGAGTTAAGATCGCTATATGAAAAACAGATTGCAAAGACAAGAGAATTGATCTCCAACATTATGGACAAAGAAATATATACTGAAGAAAATATTCCCACAGGAAGTTTTAGAAGTAACTTACTGTCAGTTGGAAAGATATACTATGCAATGAAAGTTGCACCAAAACAAGATATCGCAAGACATAGACAAGAAGTTGCACAAATATTTCTTGACACAAATTTTTTGAATTTTTTGTGCAGGTTTATGTTGTTGACTCTGAAAGAAAAGAAATATGAAGACTCCGAAGGCAATGTTGTCCCTGCTGTCAATAATCCCTTGAAAACAGGCCTCAGTACTGTGCTTAACTTCACGGATGCTGTGCCCTCCCTCTGTGAGGAGTTTTGTAGAGTCGAAGGCTTTCTGGATGTGTTCCGCTCAAGTCTGGAAGACATGTATCCTGCTCATCGTGAAAGAGATCAAGGCATTGAAATGGTGATCTGAATATAGATTTGAATCATTTGTGTTAAATTGGTCATGTTTCTGGATTAATCTTAGTAATGTATTTTTGAAGTGCTTAATCAGATTTTTGAAAGTTCTATTTGAAATGGGGAACATTTGACATATATTACTCTGATCATTGCACAAATAGTATTTTTTGATGAACAGAAGGGCAATCTCAGCAGGGTTATGGGGAACATTTGACATATATTACTTTGATCATTGCACAAATAGTATTATTTGATGAACAGAAGGGCAATCTCAGCAGGGTTATGGGGAACATTTGACATATATTACTTTGATCATTGCACAAATAGTATTATTTGATGAACAGAAGGGCAATCTCAGCAGGGTTATGTGCTTAACATAGAAAACAAATGGAAATCTGAAATTGCACATGCACTATAAGATTTCATTTTGTTTTCTATGGCCATAAGATTTGGTGTAATCTAATAAACCCACTCTTCAAACTCTCCATACACCGCCTCATTCAGTGATGGGGCATGCGTTGCCCAGTCGTCTAAGATTGATTCTTCAAATTCCGGTTTGCAGTGATTTAATGTTTCAATGTTTGACAGCACCATACCCATGCTCATCTGCATCACTTTGGGCTTTCCTCCCACATTAAGCTGACACGCCATGATATGACCGGAATACTGTACTAAATGGCGTTAAACTTACTCACTCACTCAATGATGTGAACTACTGAGTTTGACCCGTCTTGTGAAAACCCAGAGCACTGTCTGTACAGCATGATCTCACTCATTGCAAGAGCATCACACATGTTCCCCGAGTACAACCTGTTTTGTGTGTACCCAGAGCTCTGTCTGTACAGCGTGATCTCACTCATTGCAGGAGCATCACACATGTTCCCTGAGTACGACCTGTTTTGTGTGCACCCAGATCACTGTCTGTACAGCGTGATCTCACTCAATGCAGGAGCATCACACATGTTCCCTGAGTACGACCTGTTTTGTGTGTACCCAGAGCACTGTCTGTACAGCATGATCTCACTCATTGCAAGAGCATCACACATGTTCCCTGAGTATGACCTGTTTTGTGTGTACCCAGAGCACTGTCTGTACAGCGTGATCTCACTCACTGCAAGAGCATCACACATGTTCCTTGAGTACGACCTGTTTTGTGTATACCCAGAGCACTCTCTGTACAGCGTGATCTCACTCATTGCAAGAGCATCACACATGTTCCTTGAGGACGACCTGTTTTGTGTATACCCAGAGCTCTGTCTGTACAGCGTGATCTCACTCATTGCAAGAGCATCACACATGTTCACACCCCACATGTTCACACTCTTAATTCTTACACAGACTGGTTTCTGTTAATATATGTTTTGTGTCAACTTTATGATATCCAGATATATGTAATTCCATTGTCAGGGTGGTGGGGTGGGCTGGTGGTTAAAGTGATCGCTCATCACGCCAAGCCCCGGGTTCGATTCCCCACATGGGTACCATGTGTGAGCCCATTTCTGGTGTTCCCCGCTGGAATATTGCTGGAATATTGCTAAAGGCAGCTAAAACCATACTCACTCTATTCTAGTGAATCTGTTTGTTGTAGGTGGGGTGGTAGGCTTGGAATTGTTTTGAAAATAATAACCTGTCCCTGGAAAAAAATAGTTTGTCCACATGTTTCATGAATGAGATTTTCTGTAAAATATATAAAAAGAATGGCTCTTCATTTGAGCAAAGGAAATGTTTTGTCTTAAAGCTTAAACTGGTGAATTTCTGTCTAAAACAAATGTTCCAGGCTCTCTCACCCCACCCATAAATATTAAGGGGTTGGTTCCTTGAATGTGATATTTGAAGCCACCTGCTCACAAACTTCATTGGTTTCAGACAAATGATGATCGCATACTAAAATCCATCCTTGGTATTGTACATAATATCGGGATGCACGATCCCTGCGTGCCACACCTGCAGAGTCACAACTACACCCCAGTGCTTTTATCCTACATGGACTCCAAACTAGACATGTGTAGGCTGTCGGCCATAGCTGCTCTTGCTGACATCCTGGATGAGAAGGAAAGTGACCTGCTGCAGTCTCACAAAGATGGAATCAAGTTCCTGATCAAGATTTTTGGAAAGTCTTTGAAGAATAGCCAACACAAAGAAAAAGGCTGGTCCTCTAAAGAGTTGGGAAGAAGTAAGATCATATTTGTTTAGTTACGACCTCAATTACTGAATGTCCTTTTCTTCCAATTTTTTGATAGTGTTTGAGCTAGCAGATATATTTTAAACTCACCTGAATGGAAAGTTTATGTTAGGTTATCGTCGTCGCCTGAGAACCATAATGTCCTATCTCCACTTTCACAAGTTCTGAGTAAATGATATTATATAATTTGAAGTGCTGTATAATATTAACTTGATAAACAATATGCATTTGTTTCACATAAAACAAACAAATACAAATTAATTGATATGTTTTTTGAAGCAAGAGTAATTATTCATCTCATTTACAGGTAAATGTTATTTTTATACTAATGAAGTTGGGACATTTGTTTTCAGATCCATACTGTTCTATCTCCATTAGTAAATTCAGTTGGCGTATTCATATTATTCCAAAGTTTTCACCCAAAGGAGAAATTACATACTTAAGACAGCTTATTGTAATGAAGTCATCACATTTAGTTCAGCATTCCAGCTGACAGATCACAAAATTCACTCCCAATGTTCACATTCTACTTTTGGTAAATGATAACCAAATGGTTCTATTTCCAAATGATTTGGAATAAAGTGATCCTATGTCCTTGTCACATGATCTGTGTCAAGAATTTGATTTGACGTGGACCATAGAAATGGACACACTCTCCTACCCAGAGTTCCATGCGACCAGCAGCCAGCCAGCATAGTACCTCTGCCACAGGCCAGCACCATGTGATGATTCGTCACATCTTTCATAGTTCATTCAAGATACTGAATATGCTTTTCATCCGTTTCATGTTTGACAAGTCTACACATTTTCATAAACAAATGTCAAAGAATGGTTGAGGTTCATTAAGAAAGTATCCTAATACTTGAAAATCTATTTGTTTTTGTGTAGTTATCCTTTGTTTACATTGGTTGTACGTCCCACGTGCTGTCTTTGAAGCCAAGAGGAGAGCTATAGCGATACGGTCACTTTGATGTATAAATATATATTTTCATGAAATTCACTGTCGCAGTGGTAGTAGCATATCTATATAATTATGCAAAACAATATGTTAAGCGCCCCTAAATACTTGCTTTAGTCCGTTCTATACTGATTTCTGAAAAAGCGCGTTTGTTTACAAACAAGAGAAAAGTCCGGTCACGTGATATGCAAATTAGCCTGTGGCAGTGGTGTTATGCTGAGTCACCACTGCGCCGGAGTGTAAAATGGACATAAAACATTCTGGTTTTAAGCCACTCATGTGTTTTTGGACATAGAATCACTGAAAAAACTAGTTTCCAGCAACAAGGCTTTTACATCAACGTTAGAAAAGCACACATTGGAAAGAAAATGCAAAAACATCATTTTGGGTCAAAAGTGGACCATATGGTTCTCAGACGATGTTAAGGTCACTGTTCTGCCTATGACTTATCTATCAACCATTTATTGACCATTGTAAGGATTATAGTATTTATAGAACATTAAGTAAAAGGTAGGGGTTTATGGATTCAACGATGTATGACAAATTTGCACCTGAAGATGTGACACCAGGTAGACTCATGATTTCATCTGTATCTGTATCAAAAGTAACACTACGTGTGTACGAACCACAACAACTGTGGCTAGCATCACCATTGTGCTTGATCTGATAATACAAAACTAGTAGAAAGTGCCTAAATGGAAACACAAGCTGATTCATGAATAACAACCTCTTGTTACACAGCCCACATGAAACATGGTTGGTTGGTTGGTTGGTTTGTTGTTTTACACCGCACTCTGCAATATTCCAGCTATATGACGGCGGTCTGTAAATAATCGAATCGGGACCAGACAATCCAGTGATTGATATCATGAGCATCGATGCACGCGATGCCATGCTTCAACCAAGTCAGCGAGCCTGACCACCCGATCCCGTTAATCGCCTCTTACTACAAGCATAGTCGCCTTTTACGGCAAGCATGGGTTGCTGAAGACCTATTCTACCCCGGATCTTCACAGGTCTCATGAAACATGGAGAATGCCAATGTCAGCTGTCAATATGTATCGTATCATGCATCAAGTATTTCAATTTAAGTCATCTCGTTCATCAAGTATCGTGCTATGTGTTGATCTGTTAGGTAGGCATATCAGGACCTTCCTTGTTAAAGGAGTTCTAGTAAACAAATCTATGAAATACATTTAGGTCAGATGTGAGGACAATGGCGTCAATGGGGCTTGGAGGAGGTTCAGATTGTTCGGATCCCAAGGTTTAATTAGATGTCTGGTTATGCAATTTGTTTATTTGTTTTCCACCATAGTCAACAGCAACGACCAGTGACTGATTTGCCTGATGTATGTTTTTTATCGTTCATATTTTTATTTAAGAAATAACCAATTCATGGTCGTTGTTTATCATACAATAAAACACTGCAGGGAGAATAAACCGTTAGTGGTGCAGCCTTAAGTGGTTTATTCTCCCTGCAGTGAAAACAACCATGAGCATTGATGAGTCGTTTATTTCTTATATGAGATATCAACATCATGTACAGCCTCTTTAAGGATTATGATTAAATGTACAAGCTTTGAAAATATATACCCGTATTTAAATAATGATGACTCCCTCAATAGAATCCGACCTCTGCAATGTCAGATAAGTCCATTTTATGTACAGGTGGGTATTTCCCGCATTCATTGTATTTCCACAATCCTCACGTCGATTATCTGTACCTTTTCTCCCAATACCGATTGTCATTTCTCTCCCGGTTTTAGGCTTTCAAATGCAATTGTTCGGCCATCGCATTTATCTGCGTCGCCCAGCTACATCTAAGCGGAACAACTCTCTGGACACTTCCGTCCAAAAAATAACGTAGTCCAATATATGAAATCATCAAGTTTCGAGCGCATGTTCGAATCTCCAGAAATGACGTCATGATAGAACAACGTTTCATCGTGAAATAAACCACACTTCATTCTTCATTTTTCTTTTCGATTTATCACATAACTATCCTATATTTACCCATATATCTGTCATGCTTTCATTGTAGGTATCTTACTATAGCTGCAGGTTTGGTTAATTTCAGCTGTGGGAAGACTGGCCAGAAATGATGCCAACAAAAAGATGTTGGTGGAAGAGGGAGCTCTCCCTCTCTTGTTGGAACTATTCAAATCAGACGATATGGAGGAAGAGAAAGGTGCGTATATTCGTGAACATATGGCACTCATGAATATGACATTTGATAGCACAGTTCTGATGTTGTCATTGTTGTGTTATGTTTGTTTACATATTGTGAGCACCAATGTGCACGCGCTACTACGTCATAAGTCACATGCCCCAGCATTGGGAGTGAGGTCATCACTATGTACCTGTCGTCAGTTACGAATAAATCATCGTTCAGTTCAGACGTCTTATTGCTTGATGTTCCTCCCAGTCTAGGTGCGGGTCGTACAAGTACCTGAGCATGATGTGCAGTCTTACAAATACATTACAGTCATCACTGCACATGTAGAACTGTGGCAGTGTTCTAATGAATAAAGTCAGTCTATTGCTGAGTATCATTGACTTAAAGCCCAACATATGGCAGATTATATATCAAACAAAAAGGTATTTAATGACATGTCACAATTGCCTACACAAATTGTTTCTCCTTGCCTTTCTTGGCAATACATCGGTCTGTCCACTAGAGTAACTGCCCTTTAAAAAGGAAGCTACTCTAACCCTCGTCTACAAGACGTCACAGCCGCAGTCAGACATTGTTGATAGTCGGCCTGTCCTGTTGTAACGTTACGAAGTGCAGTCAGATGTACACACAGCAACAATATGAAACAAGGTAACAATTTGGACATACATCGGCCAAATCCAACTGTTTTCATTTGTGGAAAAGGTTCCAAGCCGCAGAGGTCTACAAGCACTGATATAGCAACTGATCCTGCTTGGGTAGCCTAGTGCCCTCACAAAATTGTTTTGTCATATTTCCAAAGTGATAATGATAGCAAATATTCCAGTAGTTAATTCTGACTCCATTGCCAAATGACAAGGGCAACGACATGTTTGTTAATAAACACTGAAAGTCTTCTGTAATCAAATTGGTCATGTAGGAAAATTAGCGTATGTTCCATTTCAAGCAATATTTTACATTTTGACCTTGATTTAACCTTTGGACTTCAACCATGCTCAAAGCTGCAATTTTATTGTGACAATCACTCAGCCATTTTCCTTCAAAATGCAATGAAAAGTTGTACTTAATGCTTAACACATATATTGTGTTTTTTTTGCGATGAGTTATATTTTTACCTTTGCCCTTTGCACTTTGACCTAAATGCTCAACATGAATTTCTTCTCACAGGAAACATCTTCCCCTTAGAGACCACTGAACCATTAAACTTTAGTGTAACTTTACTTACATGTTACAACCAGTGATTACACATGTATTTGTTCAAGAGGTTGGAATCCCCCTTCCAATGGTTGTGGTGGCCATGTTGAGAAATATAGAATACTAAACGAGCTCCCGTGTCATACCAATTTTATGAAACGAGTGAATAGTTGTGGTATCTGACGAGCGAAAGCGTGTCAGATACCACAGCTATTTACGAGTTTCATAAAATTGGTTTTACACGGGAGCGAGTTTAGTATTTTATTTATTACTTGCCATTTATAACATTTTTAGAATTATACTGTTGAGTATGAATATGCTCACACCTACACGATCCACGTCATAGTCCAACTGAGTTTAACAGAATAATACTTCAAACACGTCAAAAGTTGAAACGTATGATTTTAATACCATACAACGGTCCACCTTTAGAATTCACAAAATTATCATAGGGCTAAGACTATCGCAACTCACATACTTTAACAGACTAGCGACTGTCGTTGCGCTACAATACGATCGCTGTGGAACGGGCCTTGCACCTCAAAGTTTACAATAACGTCACAATACCTGATGACGTAATTTGTGGAATTTTGTTGCAAGATGTGACCATGTGACGTCAGCCTAGCAACAAGGTTGCTGGGGTCATCGAGTGTGCATAAGCTCCTCTCAGTGATCTATCAACTCCACACGCAATGTCGTTGAATAAGCCAAGGGATGTTGAGAGCTTTCAATTTTTGTTCGTAAAACAATTCGAGAGTACAAAAGCACGCTCTTTGGTATTACACAATGTGTAATACAGCTGTATCTTTATTAAACAGGTGATCTCTTCACGGGCAAGTAATAAAGCTATTTTAGTCATCATTCAGTCAATGAAATTTAGTTTTGTGTCAAGAAAGTATACGTAGTGGGGTTGAACATGTATCACATGCAGTATACAGTATTTCTAGAGTAATATACAGTATACCACATGCAGTAATATACAGTGGACCGTGAGCAGTGTGCGCTGGGCAGTAGCACACATTTCCTCCCCCTCTCCCTCAAGCAAACCCCTCGTGGGGGAGTAACCAGGTCACAGGTCAGGCGTGCACTGGTCAGCTGTTTCACTGGGGGCTAGTGAGGGGTGCAGGAGGCCAGCCATACATACTCTTGGAGTTGTGGGACTGCAACTTGATGCCGTTGTCTTATAAGGCCAAGGGTAAGATCAGCCGAATGACCACTGCACGAGAGGCATGTTGGTTGTGGACGAGATACTACGAGGCAAAGCTGTATTACCTTATAAAGAATAGTAATGAATGTTAGGAAGAGATATATCCATCTAGACCGGCGCGAGCTGGCAGTTGAGATCTGGGAGCTGAACACGAAACAACTAGTAAAGCTCCCATGCACAATAAAACGTTGTGGACCCGCAGACGGAGTTGTGTTGTATATTGAAGAAGTATCCCCTAGAACAACATGCATTTTCTATGGCGGATATATGTTTGTTTCATCTTTTTTAAATAAATTTCCTCATAAGTTCCTTCAAAGTGCACATTGTATAGCTCTGAGGGAACTGAGTTATAGCATGTATGTTTCTCCTTATGATGTCGACCCGTGAAGATTCCGGGGTAGAATAGGTCTTCAGCAACCCATGCTTGCTGTAAAAGGTGACAAATGCTTGTCGTAAAAGGCGACTAACGGGATCGGGTGGTCAGGCTCGCTGACTTGGTTGATGCATGTCATTGATCCCAGTTGCATGGATCGATGCTCATGATATCAATCACTGGATTGTCTGGTCCAGACTCGATTATTTACAGACCGCCGTCATATAGCTGGAATATTGCTGAGTGCGGCGTTAAACAACCAACCAACCAACCTTATGATGTCAATATATTAGTTCAAATCATCAGTTCAGTCTTTATACAGGAAATATTTGAATATTAATGTTGACATCAACTTGTTTCTTTGAGAGGCATTGAGAAGTTGGAGTACAAAGTGAGGATAAGATTTATGGATGAACAACTTCTTTATTACAATTAGGAGCCACGTTTTGGTGTAGGTTCTAACACCATTATCAAGCAAGTGATGTACAGAGTATGGTTGACAAGTATATATACAGGATAGTAGGCAGTGTTTATACAGTTGAGTAGGTTTAAGATGCAGTTACACTATGGGAGTGGAGTCATAATCCTTTTGTTGTTTATATTACTGGCTCCACCCTCTTGTTTATATTACTGGCTCCACCCTCTTGTTTATATTACTGGCTCCACCCTCTTGTTTATATTACTGGCTCCACCCTCTTGTTTATATTACAGGCTTCACCCTCTTGTTTATATTACTGGCTTCACCCTTTTGTTTATATTACTGGCTCCACCCTCTTGTTTATATTACTGGCTCCACCCTTTTGCTTATATCACAGGCTTCACCAGCCAATATGTTTAACCCTTCTGTGTACATAACGGGCTTCTCCACTCCAGCAGTGTAACTGCATCTTAAACTTTGATTGGACTATGCATAGACTCATTAGTCCAGCCAAAATGTAGCTCCATAATACCAGCCTAGTTTGGCAAGGGTGGAAACTGGACTTTCATATTCAGTTAACTCCCTTGCCTCGGGAAGATGGTTATATCCCTGTGACCTATAAACAACCTAGTCTGAGCCAGACAAACCAGTGACTAGATAGCAAAACACTGTTGCAACTTATTAATGTTCCTCCGTGTATCTCATCAGAGGCGATCGAGTCCATGTGGGTCCTGGCGTTTGATGAAGACAACAAACAGAGGATGATGGAGGAGCCGGGTCTGATGGAGGCCGTGGTGGACAAATATCACAGCTCTGCCGACCAGAACATCCGCAAGCCTTGTCAGGGGCTGCTGTGGAACCTGCGTGAGATCCTCCTTCAGTCCCAGAAGTATGCAGACATAGGTGAGGGGGTCCCTGATGACTGGTTCCATGCAACAATGAACGGTTGTGTTCAAACAAATTTCATTCATTTGGTGCACATGTAGAGATTGTATGTTTGCTAGTAATGAGCATTTCATATCTGATTGAATTAGGCAAAGAATTGTCTGGATCGTCCACAAAAAGCAACAAAGGTCAAAGTGAAGATCAGAAGTCCAAAGGTCATGTGATGATCAGCTACCAGTGGGCCAATCAGGAGGTGCTGATCAAGGTGAAGGACTGTCTGAAACAGAACGGCTACGATGTGTGGATGGACATTGACAACATGGGAGGCTCCACACTACAAGCTATGGCAGAGGCCATTGAGAATGCATCTGTGGTGTTGATGGCCATGTCTCGGAGGTACAAGGACAGCCCCAACTGTCGAGCAGGTGACTACTTTAAAAAAAATACTGTTTTGCAAAGTTATTTTGAATTATCATCAAATTTCATTTTTTGAGGTAACAATCTGACTTTCAAGTTACAAAAATTTAACGGCCTAAATATGTACCATTGTTGGCACAGTGTAGACCAATTGAGGGTCAACACCTGGGGTCATGGTTCCAACACCTGGGGTCATGGTTCCAACACCTGGGGTCATGGTTCCAACACCTGGGGTCATGGTTCCAACACCTGGGGTCATGGTTCCAACACCAGGGGTCATGGTTCAAACACCTGGGGTCATGGTTCCAACACCTGGGGTCATGGTTCCAACACCAGCGGTCATGGTTCCAACACCAGGGGTCATGGTTCCCAAGGGCAATTACCAAATTCCATTGACTGATCGGGCCAAGAGAATCTTGATGATTGTGATGCCAGATGGACTAGGCCAGTATCGTGTCATGCTGTTTGGTTTGAAAACAGCACCAGCTGATTTTCTAAGACTGATAAACTTAGTCCTTGCTGATATTCCTGCTGAAAGTCAACATGGCAAAATGTGAGTTTACCCAAGCCTGAGTCATGTGGGGACCTTGGAAAGATGGCACCAGTGACGGCAAAGGTTGACAGCCCATAATCATAGATCTATGTTGATTGGTAGCAAGAACTTAGATCTGATTTTAATGAGATTGGCAAGAGAAATGGCACACTGGAAACATTTTGACTTAGATGATGCTAATATAATGCCATTGAAACCGTGTACATATGTTGAGGTCAGTTTTGAGACCAGGGTACTCATGTCCATAGGTTGCTACACTCAGAGCCCTACATTTATAGAGTTTGACTGCTAAATAACTTGTGTTTACTACCATTATTACAGAGGCAGAGTATGCGTTTTCCCAGAGGAAGCCCATCGTGCCCCTTGTCATGGAATTGGGGTACCGCCCCGATGGCTGGCTGGGGATGATCCTAGGGGCCAAGTTATTTTTTGACTTCAGCGGCAAATACAGCTTTGATTCCAAGGTGGACGGCCTCAAGAAAGAGCTGGGAAGGAGCCTGTCGGATGCGGAACCCGGTTTGTCGGAGGACGTTGTGGATGCTGGAGTTGTGAAGGTACAAGATGTCCATGATTGTGAATATCTTCTTAGCTCTATTTAGTGATTCATTACACGCTTGCAAGCTTGGATGATCTTAATCTCATTCCTTACATTTTCAAATACAAAGGTTAAGATAAGGATTTTGAAAATTTGTATTCTGGTTTAAGTAAATTATCGAATACTGGTAAAACTTTTGGGTGCTGCTCGCCTGGAGAATGGTAGATATTGTTTGAGACGTGTAGTTAGCTGGTAGACTTGGTCCCGTTCCAAAAAGTGATCGTAACTCCCTTACTTTAACATAGATTTACGATCATCATAGCGCTAAGATGGCTTTGTGGAACGGCGCCCATGTCCTTAAAACATGAAAATAGATTGGACTTGTCTAATAGTTGAATTAGTGTTCAAGTAACAAACTATTTACATAGATTATGTTGTGAAGTCATCCTAAGAGAAGCACACAATGCCCTTGTCAATATAATCTCATTAGGTTCAAACTTGAGTGTTCGCCAATGAAATGGCATGTAATGGAATGTCCTCCGATCTTTGTGGTAGCAAGCAGTAAGATCTGATTTAAATGGGATTTTTGACCATTTATACAAATGTATATAATATCATTATCTTCAAACACATTGTTGGATTAGATGATAGCAGTCACCCCATCCATTATTAAATGAGTAGTACATCATAGTTACTTGTAGTAGGTATCTATGTATAACCCAGATACCGTATTCTACGTAATAAGCTCCCTGCTCTAATAAGCGCCCACAGCGATATTTGCTAATATATTGGCTAGTGAATAATCCCAATTAGCACCCCTTCCGATTGATCAATGTACACTTATTTATTTGTGTATGTCACGCACTCGTGTGTTATATGCACCCTTAATTATGGGCAATTAAATTCTGTAAAATATATCTGTTGTGTCTAATACGCACAGACTTTTTTTTGTATCATTTCAAGCTGTCAGCATAAACCACCAAATTTAAAATGTTTCAACTCCAGGTTTTTTCTCACCAAAATTATATTCTAATAAGAGCTCCCCTATTTCTAATTTTAAGGGTGCCCTGGGTGCTTATTATGTTGAATACGGTATGTGCATTCACTCCATGGTGGAGTGGGGTTTATAACCATGAGGAGTGACACGAGCCAGCTTTGTCCAGCTGTATCACAGGACCCCATAAATGAATGGAATATGGACAAGGCAAACCAGTGACTGTAATCACTGAAATTTGTTTGACCAGCTGTTAAGGCGTTATTCTTTTTTTTGAGACCCCTGAATATTTATTTTATAAAACATTCCTCCCCATTCCACTCTCATGCCCCTCTCAGCTCTAGTAGTCTGTACCCAGCTGTAGTAAGGGACTAGAAGTTTCTATAAAACTCAAGAGTTATTTTATTTACGGGTAACCTTATACATAATTTTATTTTGGGCAATTTTGGCTTGTCTATTGTGGTGCCTGCATTCTGTATTGGTACAGCCAGTTACACTCTCACTCACTTTGTTCTGTATTGGTACTTTGGTACAGCCAGTAGCAGTTGCCAAGACGACCGCTGCCTTCCGCTCCCCAGCAGTCAAACCAGATGCAGACCCCATCAAACTGTGGACAAGTGCTGATGTGGCCAAATGGCTGACTAAGCACAATCTACATGGGTATGTGTCTCTCAATTGTATGCCATGATTCTCCATTGTATGTAGTGCTTCTCCACTGTATGCAGTATTTCTCCACTGTATGTAGTGCTTCTCCACTGTATGTAGTGTTTCTCCACTGTATGTAGTGCTTCTCCACTGTATGCAGTGTTTCTCCACTGTATGCAGTGTTTCTCCACTGTATGCAGTGTTTCTCCATTGTATGCAGTGTTTCTCCACTGTATGTAGTGTTTCTCCATTGTATGCAGTGTTTCTCCACTGTATGCAGTGTTTCTCCACTGTATGCAGTGTTTCTCCACTGTATGTAGTGTTTCTCCACTGTATGTAGTGTTTCTCCATTGTATGCAGTGTTTCTCCACTGTATGCAGTGTTTCTCCACTGTATGCAGTGTTTCTCCATTGTATGCAGTGTTTCTCCACTGTATGTAGTGTTTCTCCATTGTATGTAGTGTTTCTCCACTGTATGCATTGTTTCTCCACGGTATGTAGTGTTTCTCCACGGTATGCAGTGTTTCTCCACTGTATGCAGTGTTTCTCCACGGTATGTAGTGTTTCTCCACGGTATGTAGTGTTTCTCCACTGTATGCATTGTTTCTCCACTGTATGTAGTGTTTCTCCATTGTATGTAGTGTTTCTCCACTGTATGTAGTGTTTCTCCACTGTATGCAGTGTTTCTCCACTGTATGCATTGTTTCTCCACGGTATGTAGTGTTTCTCCATTGTATGTAGTGTTTCTCCACTGTATGCATTGTTTCTCCACTGTATGTAGTGTTTCTCCACTGTATTTAGTGTTTCTCCACTGTATGTAGTGTTTCTCCACTGTATGCAGTGTTTCTCCACTGTATGCAGTGTTTCTCCACTGTATTTAGTGTTTCTCCACTGTATTTAGTGTTTCTCCACTGTATGTAGTGTTTCTCCATTGTATGTAGTGTTTCTCCACTGTATGTAGTGTTTCTCCACTGTATGCAGTGTTTCTCCATTGTATGCAGTGTTTCTCCATGGTATGTAGTGTTTCTCCACTGTATGTAGTGTTTCTCCACTGTATGCATTGTTTCTCCATGGTATGCAGTGTTTCTCCACTGTATGCATTGTTTCTCCACTGTATGTAGTGTTTCTCCACTGTATGTAGTGCTTCTCCACTGTATGCAGTGTTTCTCCACTGTATGCATTGTTTCTCCACTGTATGCAGTGTTTCTCCACTGTATGTAGTGTTTCTCCATTGTATGTAGTGTTTCTCCACTGTATGTAGTGTTTCTCCACTGTATGTAGTGTTTCTCCATTGTATGTAGTGTTTCTCCACTGTATGTAGTGTTTCTCCATTGTATGTAGTGTTTCTCCACTGTATGCAGTGTTTCTCCACTGTATGCAGTGTTTCTCCACTGTATGTAGTGTTTCTCCACTGTATGCAGTGTTTCTCCACTGTATGCAGTGTTTCTCCACTGTATGTGTTTCTCCATTGTATGCAGTGTTTCTCCACTGTATTTAGTGTTTCTCCACTGTATGTAGTGTTTCTCCACTGTATGTAGTGTTTCTCCACTGTATGCAGTGTTTCTCCACTGTATGCAGTGTTTCTCCACTGTATTTAGTGTTTCTCCACTGTATGTAGTGTTTCTCCACAGTATGCAGTGTTTCTCCACTGTATTTAGTGTTTCTCCACTGTATGCAGTGTTTCTCCACTGTATGTAGTGTTTCTCCACGGTATGTAGTGTTTCTCCACTGTATGTAGTGTTTCTCCATTGTATGCAGTGTTTCTCCACTGTATGTAGTGTTTCTCCACTGTATGCCGTGTTTCTCCACTGTATGTAGTGTTTCTCCACTGTATGCAGTGTTTCTCCACTGTATGTAGTGTTTCTCCACTGTATGTAGTGTTTCTCCACTGTATGCAGTGTTTCTCCACTGTATTTAGTGTTTCTCCACGGTATGTAGTGTTTCTCCACTGTATGTAGTGTTTCTCCATTGTATGCAGTGTTTCTCCACTGTATGTAGTGTTTCTCCACTGTATGCCGTGTTTCTCCACTGTATGCAGTGTTTCTCCACTGTATGCAGTGTTTCTCCACTGTATGTATTGTTTCTCATATGTGAGACTAAGGCTTAAAAAAAAAATTGGTTCTCAGGCAATGTTTTTTGAAAATATAGTGCAGGCGGGCGGTGTCTTTTTTTTGGGGGGGGGGGGGGGGGGGGGGAACGGTTGTTCAAACTAGTATGTAACCAATAAACAGTTGTGTAATCAATAAACAATTGTGTACAATCAACCTGGGAAAGGGCCTCCCTACATAAATGTATTCCTTGGTGAGTAAAATACTGGAATACAGTATTTGACTACCATTGGACTTGGAATATTTAAAGAGTTTTTGTTTGTTTTTTAAAAATGGAAATAAAAACCAAACGTGCAGCAAACTTTATGTCGATGCGGACGGTGCCTGAGAACCAAGACTATTATTTTTTAGCCCAATATATGATGACTAAGTACACCAGAAATTAACTTATTGATTCTAATTGTATTGAATTCAATCTGTATTTTCCATACATATTTTTAACCCAGGTTCAAACTTGCTTTCAGTGAAAAACTGAAGAAGTTAACAGGCCGTGAAATTGCATTTCTCCAAAACTTGAGATATGAAGTGAGTACACAGGAACTTTGAATGGTTTCAAGAAGATGTAACAGATTAAGAAAGTATTTATGCAGCTTAACCATGGTACAGCGTCATCATTGCCATAGAAACGAAATCGGCAAACCTCGCCCCTTTCCGTAACTAGAAGACATAACTAACTTGTAGATGTGTGTGTTGTCATGGAAAAATGACACTGCAGAAAAGCAGGGTCTACAAAATTTATCACCACCAGGGGTGGGGATGGGGGGTGGTGGTTGTCACGAAAAATTGTTACATGTATTTAGGGGGAGGCCATGAATTTGATTTACATAAACTTGGGGAAGGGGGCTTGTCGGCAAAAGTTGATACAGTTCTAAGACCAGTCCCTAACTCTAAGTGATTTACCTGGATCTATTTTTTTTTAGGGGAGGGACTTTTAGTAATTATTAATTTTGAGGTGTCCAGAATGTGGTTGTGTAGCCTTAAGCCTAGTATTGATGGAGATTTCAATGTTAGATTGACAAAAATCAACCACTGAGTGTATGTTTCACAAGAGTAGAAATGGCTGCAGTATAACATTCTGTCTCCAATTTTGACTATATTTAATGAATCTTGTGTCCCCCAGGACTCGGATGTAAATCATTAGAATCCATTCTCACTTTGTATGTGTGTAGGAAGCAATATTATGTGTCTTGTAAAACCATGATGAAATGAGAACAAACTCCTGTGTTGTGATGTCAAAATATGAAGGACACATAGCAGTCTGCCAAAGCCCAGTAGAGTAAATGATTCCTAATTTTTATCCCCCATGTAAATTTGGTAGTAACTTTATCAAAGGGTTGATTTTTTGGATGAAATCATTTCAAGACAAAAACGTCATGGCGATTAAAATATGTTACCAGGCACCCGAGTTTTTCTACCACACGGTGGAAACCAAACTGGCTGTCACAGATCTCCTGGGTCTCGTCAACTTCACAGAAGCAATGGATGATCTCACGTCTTGACTCAAAGGAGAAATGGCTGGAGATGACATGGCTGGAGATGACTCATACCACAACTAGGGGTGAAATGAAGCACCGGTGGATTGCGAGTTATCATACCACAATACGATACATGTATCAATACAAGACTATACACCAGCTAAAATCAATTATTTTGCTTGTCGTCTTGATAGCGAGGAAGAACCTGCAGTACATGATGCATGAAGATAAGAAAACATACAACTTTATGGATAACTTCTGGTATATTGCATTTAGAAACTTTTTTCTGTAGAATCTGACACAGTTATTCTCACATCTTAACGGTGTAAGAATCTCGTATAAATGTTGCTGAAAAAATAAACCAGAAGTTGTTATCTATATCAATCTCATTAAAATCAGATCTTAGTTCTTGCTACCGCTAAACAAAGATCTGAGGACATCCCATTACGGGTCACGTCAGACCTATATAGTCGTATGTTTTCTTATTTAATCACCAACTTATAGAATGCCAATCAAACAGTTGCATGACAATGTATAAACCTGCTCTGAAATATTTATATTCAAGAAGTTGATTTGACATGAATATGCATATCGTGATACGTATTGTATCATGGCCTATGTCATGATACATGTTATGATACGTATCATATCTTGACCTTGCTGTATCGTTTCACCCTAATCACAATACCTGTGCTGTCAAAACAGGGCTCAAATTTGATGTGCCACTTAAAGTCAAATTTGTTTTGGTCAAATTGTAGTGTTTATCGACTTTATCAATAGCAGTGTCTATACACTTGGTTTGTCAGTAGAAATGTTGATAGATATGTTTGTCAACAGGAGCATTGATAAGCTTTGAAAATAGGAATGTTTATAGACTTTGGTTGTCAATTGGAGCCTTGATACCAGATCTCTAGCAAACAATCCTGATGTGAGAGTATCATTAATGCTTTCATTACCATGTGATATTTTCAAAGTGTTATCGAGAGCACATCTGTTTCGGTTAGGGCCCTGTTCCTCAAAGTGATCTTAGCACTAAGGTGATCATAAGTCCCATACTTTAACACAGGCTTACGATCATCGTAGCGCTAAGACTGCTTTGAGGAACGGGGCCCAGGTCTATAAAATTGACATTTGAGCTGTTGGTAAGTGGACAGTTATCATGGTTAAGAGTGAGTGAGTAAATGTTGCAGTCAGCCATAGTTTATCTAAATCACAGTGGCCTGTAAATAATCAAGTCTCAAAGTGACACACTAGTGACTAAAAGCTTGAGCAACGAGATCAGGACAGCGTGGATCGATGCTCATGATATTAACCACTGGATTGTCTGGTCTGGACTCTATTATTTACTATTTACAGACCGCTTTTAGATGGCTGAAATATTGCTGATTGCAGTGTTAAACAACAAACAAATTTTAAAATATGCAAAAATGTGTATAATTCTTCCCTCTGGACGTGCCATACAAAACTGTATACACATGTATTAATAATTATATATCATACTTATCAGATCACTCTGACTCAGGTCATTGCCTTCGTTAACAAATACTTAATAATACTCAAGTGTCTCCTTTACCCCTTTATCTCAGGTATTTATTATTGTGTTTGTTGCATAATCTTTGTATACTTCATCTGCTGGAGGGGGCACGAGTGGCCCAGTCATCCAAGGCACCGTGATTCGCTGTGCAGAGTTGCGCCCCTTAGACACGCCAGGAACCTATGATTGTGGGTTCGGATCCTGGTTTGCCCCAATTATGTTTCTAGGTTTGTCAGCACCATACCAATGTTCATGAGTTTCACCGAAGTGGTAGACGTCTGAGACCTGCATCACTTTGGGCTTTCCTCCCACATTAAGCTGACACGCGGCAATATAACTGGAATACTGTTAAAAGCGGCTTTAAACCCAACTCACTCACTCATCAGCTGGAATATTTTGTAATAGATTTGTGTTTGCTCAGGTATCCTTGTTTACCAGATGATTTTACGTCATGTTCACACAATGCTACTGTAGGGATACTGTGTTTCTTGGGGTTGCCAATTACTGTTTCCTACACTAGAAAACAGCCCTTACAAAAAACCCTTGATTCTTTTCGCACATATTGTGCACAAAGAGTACTTGTTTGTATTGGCAAGGGTATAGAACTGATTATCACAAAGACCTTGTAATCCATGTCAGAAAGTCTATAACTTTCAAATTTCTAACATTATTTTTGTTGTTGTGTACTTGATGTGTTGTTTTCATGTGTAGAATACCTACATCTGTGATACCTTTTATATCTTTCTTACACCAATTACATGTGTACAAGTTGTGTTATATGCTGTAAATCTTGAAATTAACGTGAGCGTGAAGTAAATGTGAAAAATGCGAGTGGTCCGTGCTCTCATTAATTAACTTCGCAGTTATGTCTCAAAAATGACTAGCAACAATAAGACGGCCTCACTGCACACTTTGGATAGCGGAAATACCAACTTGATTAATAACACAATTACGGTTTATTGAGCAGCAGTTGTAACTGTAATTCGCATTGATATTGAGTCGCATTTTTGGCTGGGGTCAGCAGTCATATTAATTTGGAGACGCATTAATTTCTAGATTTACAGTACTTTATTATCCCCCCCAGCATATAATGCCGGGGGATATAGCGATCAGCCAGTCTGTCTGTCCGTCCTTCTGTCCATCCGTAATCATTTCCTTTTCCAGGGCAGAACTCGAAAACAATTCAGTGTATTTGATTGAAACTTGGCAAATCTATCAGTCACATACTGAAGTTGTGCCTTTTGCTATTTAGGAATTTTATAAGTTTTTATATTTTACGTTTCCATGGTAACAAGTTGGACTTAGGTTCTATAAGGGTGGTGTTCGTTCCCGGAACAAAACTCAAAAACCATTAAAAACTTTCTTACAAAACTTTGCATGTCTACCAGGCACATACTGAACTGGTGCCTTTTGCTATTTAGGAATTTTAAATTTTATATTTTTTACGTTTCCATGGCAACAAGTTGGACTTAGGCTCTATAGGGTAGAGTTCGTTTCCGGAGCATAACTCAAACCTATTCAAAACTTTCTAACAAAACTTTGCATGTCTATCAGACTCATGCTGAACTGGTGCCTTTTGCTATTTAGGAAGTTTTTATTTTTTACGTTTACATGGCAACAAATTGGACTTCAATCTCATTAAAATCAGATCTTAGTTCTCGCTACCGCTAAACAAAGATCTGAGGACATCCCATTACAGGTCACGTCAGAACGACCTTTCATACAACCAATCAGAGTGTCGCTTACCAGATCCTAAAAGTGACAGTCGGAATGTGTTTTCTAATCATGCAACCTCGAAATATTTAACACAGGGTATTTCGAACGACAGTTACGGGTTTTATGATTATATCAATACATTCTAGGACATCTATGAGCCATTCCAGAATGTTGTTTTGGTCAGTTTTAAATTTTTTAATCGAGAATACGTCAAAGTATGTTTCGAAGCGTAGTCGCCAGTTTGAAACTACTGCCGTAAAGCTCGAGATAGCTGCCTTCTGATTGGCTAATGTCGATTTCATGCCAGTCATTTCATTGGTCGGTCAATGTTCGCAAAAGGTCGTTCTGACGTGACCCGTAATGGGATGTCCTCAGATCTTTGGCTAGCGGTAGGGAAAACTAAGATCTGATTTTAATGAGATTGGTTGGACATAGGTTCTATAAGGGCGGTGTTCGTTTCCGGAGCGTAACTCAAAAACAGTTAAATACTTTCTTACAAAATTTTGCATGTCTACCAGGCACATACTGAACTGGTGCCTTTTGCTATTTAGGATTTTTATAAATTTTTATTTTTTACGTATCCATGGCAACAAGTTGGATTTAAGTTTTAATATTGGGTGGGTTCACTTATGGAGTATAACAAATAAACTGTTTAATATTTCCTTGCCAAACATTGCATGTCTATATATAAAGCACATACTGAACTGGTGCCATTTGATATTAAGGAGTTTTAGAAATGTTTATTTTAGAATTTCCATTGCAGCTATTTTGACATGGGCTAAGAGAAATGTTTGGGACCATGACGTGTTAAAATGGGCGGGGGATATAGATGACTTCGTTGACTATACGCTTGTTTAGTTATTGTTTCTTGTAATTTGTCAATTGTTTGCATAAAAAAACCCACAGAAACACACTTGTTTTACTTTCCATTTCATATGGATGCGACCATGCATGGTGGATCTTTTGTGGGTAAACAATGTATGCTTCTTCAAGAACATTCAACTCTTGACTCTTTAGATACAGAATTGCACATTTACTAGTGGTTACTCAACAGACAGCTGTCAGGGGGATATGTCATCTTTCTGATGACCCTTGTATATAAATATTCTGGATATCTCTGTAGTACTGAGATGTATGAGGTAGTCCACCAGTAGGATTCCTTTGGAATCCCAGAAATTCGAGGACTTCACCTTGCCAGCTGATACAAAAGAGTTTGCCTTCTTCACTGTGTTGATAGTTGTTTAGTCTCTGTCTGACAGGGGTAAACTCAATTCTCATCCTTGGTTACAAATCGCTCAACAAAGTCAGCTGGGTCTGCTTCAAAATCAGAAGCCCTGCAACCTTGCTGAAACCTTTGTCATACCCAGTTTTGCTCTTCATAATGTTCAACTCATTCAAGATGCCTAGTGTACTGGCTATGTGACGTTGGGTGAGACCTCATCTCATGTGTTTTTTAACATTGTCCCCAGTTTAAGGACGAGGTGAGGTCTTCCTGATCTTGGATTGTCTTCGAGGATCTCTCTACCCCTCTTGAACTCTTCACAGTGGCAATGGAAGGAGCATAATACCGTGACCTTGACATTAGTGGTGTGACGAATACATCGGTGGATCAAAAATCAATCACAGTTGCACACCAAGTACAAAATATCAATTCATACCTTAAATGTTTACTTTAATGGCTGTTACACCAAACACTAATTAGTTGTGAAAAAATAAATATTTTCATCCTTTGGGACATACTTGACACTGCCAGCTGTAAAGCATAAGTGTGACAGGTATTTGACTATCCTGTCTATGAAAAAAGATGGCTTACACACCACAGATAAGAGCACTGACAAGTATCGTGATACAATATCGGATCGCGAACAAGGTATAGTGATACATATCAGATCGCCCAGTTGGTGT